GGGGGGGGGGGGGGGGGGCAGCGTGAGCGTAAAACAAACCAAGGGGGCATGTGAGAGCACCACAACAAGGTCATGGCCAGATGACAGCGATCGAATAGTCACGCTCGCACGCATACAAAGATCGGCAGCAATACAATGAGTAATGTTCAATGATTGTCTGCCTCGTCAAGAGATGCCGCCTTCTCATTGGCCAGCGGAGACGCGCGATCGATGCTATGATAAATAAAAAATTACACGCACATTCACACACACATTCTACCGCTAGCACTAACAGCAACAGACACCAATATAAACGCCTTTTTCATTGGTCAGTAGATTAGCGAAATCTCGATGCCAACAAACAACGTACACAGCACACACACACCTGGAGAGATCTGGCCACATTGTCCGGCGACTCGTGAACATATTCGCAAAAATCGCGATGCAGCGCCACCCAAAACTCTCCCTTGAACAGCGTGAACAAGTTAGGGAGCGGTCTCTCCACGCGCACCGGAGGCCCCGATTGCCTCCGCTGCAGGAAAGGCTGGGCCGCTCGTCGGGTCTCATTTACCCGGTACAAACCCTGCAGGCGCACGGTGGCGGCGGCGGTGGGGGGGGGTGTACTCATAGTCGTGCATGCCGTAGTCGTTAGACCATTGACCTCGCATCCCTACAAAGCCGGGACGGAGCACGCCGGGTTCTCACCGGACCAGGCGGTGGGGGGAGGAAGGTACTCATGTACATGCATGCCGTAGGCGGTTGGCCTTGAATCCCTAAAATACCGGGGCGGAGCGATCGATATACCGGTTTTTCGCCGGCCCAGGGGGGGAAATTCATTGAGATTGGTTCGTCAGAGCGGTGTCCGCACGGCAAATATCAACTTGTACTTGCTCAATCCTTGGTAAAACATTTCATTTTGATGCTTGGGCACGCCACGTTGGAAGGGATGGAGCGAGGGCGTTCAGTACAGGTGGTGGTTGGACAACAGCAATGATCCACATGGCAGACTAGACTTGATGGTGGGTAGCGGTTCTTTCAAGATAGTCCCTGCAGCAGGCCTTGCTGTCGGGAGCGGGGAGGGCATGTACACTTGTGTTTCTTTCTCTTGAAGAAAGAGCGTTTCGGATACAAACTTTCTCTGGCGATATAAGTTATCCTCTGGAAAATCAACAAGGCCTACCACCGGAAGTCAAGAGGAGTACGGCCAAATCCACGTGTGCCGACTGTCGGTGGCAACCTCATGGAGTCCACAGTATCGCTTTCAGTGAGCGCGGGCGGGGGTGAGTATCGGGCCACCGGTCACCATACGAATGAACGTTTCCCTATAGGTATGCGGGACCCATCCCCCACCCGCCAATGTAGCTCGACCCTACCAACCAGAAGCAGACGCCCCTTTCCAATAAGCAATCGATCGGGGGCCCACCTGGTCATCCACGTACAGCTCCGCCCGGTTCTGTTCCATCATCGCCGAGCCTGTGACGAAATTCATCCGGCTTTCCACGAATGATCCCATCGCCACACTCATCTCCGCCGAGCTTAGCAGGGGGAAGTCCGTCGCACTGAATTCCAAACATAATGAAGGCAGGATTGGAGGCGAAGGTGGCGTGAGCGTGAGTGTGTGTTTTTGGTCGTATTAGCATCGCCCGCGCTAACCGGCTGACCAGTGAGAAGACGTCAGTCTCAGTGAGATTCAAAACACAAAATGCTTGTAAGGGCCACGATATGGGACCCTGTGAGGGAGCGTCATGGGGGAGTCCATGCTACTCTCCGGACTAAAGACAGATACCATATGTAGCAATAATATGACGTGTGTGTGACTTCATTCGCTTTCCTAAGCATCAACTTCGCTAACTGGCGGGCCAGTCAAACGAACTCGCGCGTGCTCGGTGTGTGTGTGTGTGTTTGTGCGGAAAACCAACGTAGATAGGGACGCAACGAACACATACAACATGGTCACGCGAGGCTGGCAGGGAGGCCAAGGTGGGTAGGGGGACATGGGCCGGCGTAACACCAGCACCTGTGTGTTGTGGATATGCAATAAAGAGCAAGTCATCGAACGCATGAGAGAAGTCCAGCCTCCTGCAGACGTTTCGCCACAAAAGACTTAGTCCACAGGTGCACCAAGGGCGCTAGAAATGCTTCAGTGGTCGGCATCGCGTGAGATGACGAGAAAACGAGGCCATGCGTGAGATGATCCTGGTGACGTTCCAGCGTTATCAGATTATACAAACGGGGCATCTGTCCTGAAACGCAACTGTTGGCGCTGCGTCTGCCCATCCCAGCGGTCACCACCGACGTTGCAGTGCAGGAAACGAGCAGCCTCGCCACGGAAAGTCCTGACCTGCCTATGCCGCAAATGCCCACACCAAGCTAGTACGCGCGACCAGCGCCAGCGACCAGCGCCAACCATGCTGCCGCACGTACCCCGGCCGAGCTCCACTGGAGCTTGCCCCCCGCCGCCTCCACACCACAACTGCGACGTACAGACCGCCTCCCAAATTGCCCAAGGTCAAGCCGCGCTGCATTGCCACTAGTACTGCTGTGCCTCGGGGGTGCTTCAACAGCAGTGCTACAGATCCCCACGAGTGAACACTGCCTTGAGGGGGAGAAGTGGCCACAGGGGGTTACCACTAACGTTCTCGGCGGTGAGCGCCAAGACGCGAGCGAGAAACGAGTCCAACACGGCGGCGGCCATTCCGTCGGACCACACCTAGCAGCTTCTTCCATCGCCGAGAAGCAACACGTTTCTCTCCAAAACCCCCACCCATACAGCCGAGCATCTCAGGAAGTGAAAGCAGTGGGATCACCCTCGTCGCGCGTACTCCCACTTCCCACCGTCCACTTGACAAAGCTCCACACGCGCGCA